CTGAATCCTGACAGCCTTTGAGGGCTGGGATATAGTTCAGTTAGTAGAATGCTTGTCTGACATGCGCGAGGCCCTGGGTTCCATCCTCAGCACCACAAAAACCGGGCACTTGGGAGTTGGAGGCTAAAGAATCAGATGTTCATCTCTGGCTACATACTGAGTTCAAGGCCAGCTATAAACACATGCACACACATTCATCCCCCTCTCCCCCCCACTTTCTCTCCCTCTTTCACACACACACACACACAGTGAAGAGCAATCAAGGAAGACACCTGACATGGACCTCTGACCTAAACAGGCTTGCTCATACACATGTACATCCACATGCACATGTTTATATGCCCACAAGAGCATCTACACCACACACAAAATAAGAAACAGAAAAAAAAAATCAACCTGCCAGTCATCTGATCCCGAGAAACATCAAGTCTTCAGAGAGTCTTGGTCGTTCAGAATCCAGTAGCAGCTAGCTACCAGATCAGGCACAGGAGGAATACTGGGGCGGGGAGGGGGGGCGCAGCTTGAGGGGAGGGGCAGCCAGGGGCACGTGTGTCAGGCCCGTCAGCCGCATTCTTGGCTCTTCAGCCCCTAGGGTAGTCTTGTGAGACTGGCTGGGAGGAGGATCCTCTCCACAGATATTGCCTGTTTACTCTCGGGTCCAGATGTGCCACGCTCTTTACATTTTAACAGCCCTCAGCAGGTTTGCCGCTCCAGAGCTTGTGAATGAGTAAATCCTTCGCAAACTACTACTTTTGTGGGGAGGGTACAATTAGGGTGCCTGTGAGATGGCTTGGGCTCATTTTGATGAGTTTCACAGTTTAATTTCTCTACCTGCCGGACTTCTTATCTTCTAGTAGGGAGGGAAAAGAATAAAAGAATTCTATAGATGGGCCTGGAGCTCTGAGCAGACCAGAGACACCAAGGAGACGAACAGGGTCTTTTGTCCAGTCAAGCCAGGCAGCAGACCCCAAGCCTTAGGTTATAGACATTTAAGAGCTGTTCATGTTCTAAAAGAACAACACGGCCCACAGTTGTACTGGACAGAGGCTGGGAGGCCTGATACAGGGGCAGCAGTGTCTTAGGGGTGGATTTGTGTTGCTATAGCAGAATACCTGAGGCGAGGTAATGTAGCTAGAGTTTTCCTGCCTGGCCCACAGTCAGGACAAATTTCTCTCACCTGCCAGTCCCACAGCCGCTCAGACCCGACCAAGTAAACACAGAGACTTATATTGCTTACAAACTGTATGGCCGTACCAGGCTTCTTGCTAACTGTTCTTACAGCTTAAATTAATCCATTTCTATAAATCTATACCTTGCCACGTGGCTCGTGGCTTACCGGCATCTTCACATGCTGTTTGTCATTGTGGCGGCTGGCGGTGTCTCTGACTCAGCCTTCCACTTCCCAGCTTTATTCTCCTCCTTGTCCCACCTATACTTCCTGCCTGGCCACTGGCCAATCAGTGTTTTATTTACCAACCAATCAGAGCAACACATTTGCCATACAGAACATCCCATAGCAGGGTAATGTGTAAAGTGGCGAGGTTGTGTCATAACACAGTAGAAGAGCAGAAAGGAAAGCAGGTACCCATGAGGCAGCTGGGTACCGGGTGCACTTAGAAGCCAGTCCAGTTCCACGATGGAGAAAGCTCACTCCTGCAAGGAAGGCATTCATCCTCTTTTGTTTGTGGTTTTGCTTTGCTTGTTTTTGTGCTGAGGATTAGATCCAGGGTTTCACAAGTGTAGGCGAGCCCTGAGCCCCACTCTTCCCTCTTAAAGGTCCCCATGCCTCCCCCAAAGCACTACCTCCCAACAGCATGCCCTGGCATACTTATTTCTTTTCTTTTTGCTATGAGAAATACCCTGATAAAATCAACCCAAGGAAGAAGGGTTTGTTCTGCCTCATGGTTCAAGGGTTTAGTCCATCATGGCAGGAAAGTCAAGGTGACAGACACCGAAAGTGGCTGGTCACATCACATCCACAGTTGGGAAGCATGAAGCAGTGAACCCATTCCGCTGTTCAGGCCTTTCTCCACTTATCCAGTCAAGGATCCCAACTAGGGAATGGTGCCACCCACAGTGGGCAGGTCTTCCTGCCTCAGTTAATATAGTCAAGATAACCTGAAGGCATGCCCTGAGCCCCCCGTCTCACAGATGATTCTAGATTCTGTCAAGTTGACTATTAACACTAGTCATCACACCAGGGGACCCAGCCTCAACCTGAGGTTTGATGGGGACACACCAGATTGAAGTCCCAGCCGGCAGCTTCCTGCCTTCAGCCTTCTCTGCCTTTCTCTGGCTCTGATGAACCATTGCAGTCAACCAACTGGCACCCCATCCTCCCAATTCTGTCCCTCCCTGCAATGACTAGGCTCACTCATGCTATCTAAGCAGAATAGTTTCTCACTAGCAGACAGCTGAAGTCCAGAAGGCTGGGGTGAGTTGTCCGAGACTCCACCCCCATGGTTCTGCGAGGAAGAAGGTGGCACAGTGTGCGGTCCCATGATCCCTGTTATTTTCTGTTTGTTTGTTTGATATCCACTTTCCCGACAGATGTGAGGTGACATGTGGTCTTGATGGTCTCTCAATTTTGCAGAAGTTCCAAGGCAACTGGACTGCTCTGAATGGCAGAGTTCACAGCAAATGCCGGTCTTCCGGTCCTCCCTTTCTCACAGCAGCCATCTTTGGAATGAAGCTAATTCTCTAAACGTTAGCCTTGGCAAAGGGAGGCTCTGCTCCCACCAGACAGGCCCAGCTCCACAGTGTCAGGGACAGTCCTCTGACCTTTTGCATTGTCAGAGACTCTTGTGATGAGTTGGCTGAGGAACTCTGGTCTTTGTGGGATATATGATAGTGAGAGAGGCTCAGAGGGCTAGGCTTTTCCATGGAAAAGTAAGTATATGCATTACCGTGTGTGTGTGTGTGTGTGTGTGTGTGTGTGTGTGTGTGTGTGTGTGTGTGTGTGACTGAGCTGAAACTCACCTTTTTGACCAGACTGGCCAGCAAGCTCTCAGGATCTGCTGTCTGTGTCCCCAATGCTGGGATTTCAGGCACACAGCCATGTCCAGATTTTTACATGGGTACCAGGGATTCAAACTCAAGTCCTCTTGCTTGCCAAACCCTCTTACCCACTAAGCCCAACACTATACTTTTAAATGAAATGTAGAGGGATCCTTGTCAACAGCTAATTACCCAAATCACCAAAAATCAAAAGCCAGGAATATAACATGGCCCAGCTGCTGTCAAAAACCATATTCCCAGAAAGCTACGCTCAGAAGAAGCTTTATCTGCAATAATTATATATATATATATATATATATATATATATATATATATATATATATATATATATATATATATATATAAATCTGTCTTTGCAGCCCAATTGGCACTGTGTTCGAGGCAGCTTGACTTTTGCGTTCAGGAATCCCAGCAAACGAATTCCAACTTGGGGATAGGCATCCCTTTTGCTGCCTTTGGGGAGCCTGGGTTCTATTTTGTAGCAATATGAGGCCACTTCATGGTGACCTGTAAGTAGTTGGAGTGGCAGGTACAATTCCCATGAACCCCGGTGCATGCCGTGACCTCCTAAAGTCGGCCATCAGCTTTCTGCGGAAGCAGCTGTGATTTTTATGGGTGCTGTTTACGTGCAGCTGGTGTTTGTGTAAGTGGAGCCCAGCTCACTGGAAACCTATCTCTCCCTGACGGTCTTTACTATAGGTGAAAGGGGGTTGCTAGGAGCACTGTCTCAGGGGATGAGAAGAGTGAGGCCAGGAGAGCCTGGCAGGCACCCCTGTGTGTAGAGTGGGTGCACACAGCAGATGCTCAAAGTCACGGCTGGGTCACCCTTGGCTGCGCTGAGAGGAGTGTTTAAACTCCTTGGAAATCAGTGTCAGTCCTACCAGAGTGGTCCCAAGGCTTCCTTGCAGGCAATAGCCCATTCTGTTGATAGAGACATCCTTCCACACCTGCAGGAGAGCAGCTTCCAAGAGATGCACCCTGCTAGCTATGATTCTGCCATGTCTTTCCCCAGCCAGAGCAGCTCGTGGGTGTGACGAAAACAGGCTGCCACACTGCAGATGGGTTGCAGAATGCCTGGCCCATCTGTATTTATCACAGTCGTTTCCTTATTAAAATGTTAAGGAATGTAGTGCTTATTTATCATTCCCTGCCTTGTGGAGCATCCTTTTCCTGACAAAGCTTCGATCTACCTGATGGGGAGCTGACAGACAACTTGCCCCATTTTGAGCCCAGGAATTAGGATTTTTTTCTTCCTTCCCTTGAAGTGCCCATATGCAGGCTGAAGAAGGAGGAGGAGGAGGAGGAGGAGGAGGAGGAGGAGGAGGAGGAGGAGGAGGAAGTTTACTTCGGCTGAGGGAGATGACTCGGTCAATAAAGTGTTGAGGGCCTGAATTTAACTCCCCGGAACCTATCTAAAAGCATCTGGTGTGGTGATGCAGTCTTGTAATCCCAGTGCTGGGGAGGCAGAGACAGGAGGCTCCCTGGAGCTTGTTGACCAGCTAACCTAGCTGACTCAGTGAGTTCCACACTAGTGAGGGATCCTATCTCAAAGAAGAATGACCCCCAAGGTTGACCTCCAGCCTCCACAGGCATATACAACTTTACTTGTACACATAGTAACATATACACAAACAAAAAGAAAGAGACAGAGAGAAAGAGAAAGGGAGGGAGGGAGGGAGGGAAAGAGACACATACCTCCTCGCTGAGGACAGATGGAGGGGGTCTTTCTGCCCACTTGTCCTGGAATGGCCCTAGGAATACCAAGAAGTTTTACCCTAGGTTTGGGGTGAGGCTCCTGAACTTCACGCCAGTACACTAGTTGCTAGCCACACAGCTGAGAGCCTTGGTTCGCACAGTCGTCAGGTGGGCTAGCCGCTACCTCTCCTAGCACTGTGTGGGAAAGCAAACAAGACCATGCTTGTCCACTTACTGTGACGTTGCATGCTCATCTGTGTCTCGTTCTGCTCTGTTTGTTCTTGTAGACTCTCCATGGAAGGTACATCTGTCAAATGTTGGCCCAGAGATGACAGGCGTCACTGTGAGTGGCTTGACTCCAGCCCGAACCTATCAGTTCAGGGTGTGCGCTGTGAATCAAGTGGGCAAGGGGCAGTACAGCACAGAGACCAGCAGGTGAGTGAGCCTGACCTCCACCTAGAGCCCAGGGTGCTGTGGGTCCCAACCATAGACGCAGAGATGAATGACAGCCTAGGGGTCCTGCAGAAAGCTGAATACAGTCAACAGTGGCATGTACCGAGCCAGCTGTACTTCCCTTCACTGGTTGGAGGCAGCTGTCATAGACCCTTCCCATGGTGCTCGGTGCCTTCACAAGGCACTCCTGACAGCACAGCCTTCTTTAGGGGTGGGTGTGGCAGAGTCTCATGTGGTCCAGGCTGGCCTGGAATTCACTATGTAGCCGAGGACCATCCTCTTCCCTCTACTAACAGAGTGCTGAGATTACAGATGTGCATGCTACACCCAAATTACATGATGCTGGGGTTGGAACCCAGGACCTCATAGATGTCCTAATGTCCTTTCTGTTGTTTTGATAAAATACTCTGATAAAAGTGACTTAGGGAAGGAAGGGTATACTTCAGCGGAGAGTTCCAGGTTACAGTTCATCATAGCAGAGAAGTCTAGACAGGAACTCCAGCAGCTGGTTATATCAGATCCACGGTCAAGGGCAGAGGGAAAGTGATGCATGCATGCTTGCTTGTGTTCAGCTAGATTTCTCCACTCTTATATAAATCAGGATCTCCTGTATAGGGAATGATACTGCTGCCCACAGTGGACTGGATCTCTCCACATCAATCAACTTAATTAAGACACACACCGCCGCCCCACCCAGACATACCGGCAGACCAACCTAATGTAGATAATTCCTCATTTAGACTGTCTTTCCAGGTGTTTCCAGGTTTTGTCACATCAACAGAGCTAACCAGAATACTAGCTGAACACTCTGTGAACCACACATCTGCCATTGCCTCCTGACTGTTCCTGGCATGTTGACTGCCATAACTCTTGCACACACAGCCTCAATGAGGCCAGCTGCATGCTTTGGGTTGCTTTTCTCCTCAACAAGGCTCTGGGCTGAGCACCTTGTCTCTCTCTCTCTCTCTGATATATTTTTAACTTTAGGTTGATGTTACCGGAAGAACCACCAAGTGCTCCCCCAAAAAACATTGTAGCCAGTGGGAGAACCAACCAGTCCATCATGGTGCAGTGGCAGCCACCACCTGAGACAGAGCACAATGGGGTGCTCCGGGGCTACATCCTCAGGCAAGTACCCGGCACAAACCTTCAGGCTGTCCCAACTTTGGAGGTCCAGGTCAAGTGACAGAATCTAGGGAGGGATACCTCCTGCAGCAAAGCAGCATTCACAGGTAGTGGGCACCTTCGTGGAGCCCTCCTGGGTGTGGCCACCTCAGAGGCCACACCGACTAGTGTCAGAGGTTGCACCAAGTCAAAGAATGAAGGAGGGATTATGGGAAAGATAGCAGATACACTCTTCATTGTGAAGCCTTTCTCAACGAATTGTACATTCAAAGTACAGTCACTTAACCGATACTAAATTAATTTGAGGAAGTATTTAACCAACCGATACTATGTTAGGTTGTTACTCCATTTTGCAAGACCTTCTGACATATCAAAGAAAAACATTTGATTGTGTGTATATGTGTGTGGGTATGTGTACCTAAGTGTACCCAAGGAGACCAGAAGAGAGTGTCAAATGCCCTAGGACAGTGGTTCTTAGCCTTCCTAGTGCCTCAGCCCCTTAATACCGTTCCTCATGCTGTGGTGACCCCCAACCATAAAATAATTTTCATTGCTACTTCATAACTGTAATTTTGCTACTGTTATGAATTGTAATGTCTGTGTTTCCTCATAGTCTTAGGTGACCCCTGTGAAAGGGTCATTGGAGCTCCAAAGGGGGTCATGACCCAGAGGTTGAGAACCACTTCCCTAGACCTTGAGTTACAGGCAGCTGTGACCTGGGAACTAAACTCAGGTCCATAGCAAGAGCTCTTAAGTGTGGGGCCATCTCTCCACCTCCCTGAAGAAATCTATATAAACATATGTATATATACATGTGTACTCACAACTTGGCAATGTTTAGGTGTTGGGAATGAAAGCAATGTATTTTTTATATTAGCGCAGGATGAGTGTTCACGTGTGCCTGCCAGATGTCACCAAAGGGTGTGCAGGTTGCTATCCCAGCCTTAGCAGGGATGGTGGGCTTCAGAGTGTATGGAGAGCACATCTGGGAGAACACATCTGGGAGAAGCACCTCCTTTGCCCAAGCTACTGCTAATGTCCAAATTACACCGAATGTCATCACTGCGGAGCTCTTGGTTGAGACAAATTAAAAGGAGAAAGATTGATTGGAATTAAAGGGTAATCGTTACGTCTCCTCTCATAGTTTATACCACTGTTTGTTAATCTTATCAGGTTTACTGAAGCAGGAATGCATCCGTTATTCTCCAAGTACCCACCCTGGCTCACACTGGGCCTGGAGTTCATTGTGTGAGTGCTTAAGAGTCTTCGTAGGAGGAAAGTTGTGAAAGTGTTCTTTCTTTCTTTCTTTCTTTCTTTCTTTCTTTCTTTCTTTCTTTCTTTCTTTCTTTCTTTCTTTCTTTCTTTCTTTCTTTCTCTCTCTGTCTCTTTTCTTTCTTCCTTCCTTCCTTCCTTCCTTTATCTCTGTCTCTTTCTTTCTTTCCTTCTTCCTTTCTCTCTCTGTCTCTTTCTTTCTATTTTTCTTTCTTTCTCTCTGTCCCTTTCTTTCTCTCTTTCTTTCTTTCTCTCTGTCTCTTTCTTTCTATTTTTCTTCCTTTCTCTCCCTTTCTTTCTCTCTCTGTCTCTCTCTTTCTCTTTCTCTCTCTCTTTTGTTGTTGTCGTCGTTGTTGTCGCTTTTTTGTTTGAGACAGGTCTTGTATAGGCTAGACTGGCATAGCACTGGTTAATGTGGCTGAGGACATTCTTGAACATCTTATCCTCCTGCCTCCAGCTCCCAACTGCTGGCCTTACAGGAGGAACGCACCACCGTAAAGGGCCCTTTCACAGGGTCGCCCAAGACCATTAGAAAACACAAATATTTACATCATGGTTCATAGCAGTAGCAAAATGACAGTTATGAAGTAGCAACAAGGATGACTTTATGGTTGGGGGCACCACAACATGAGGAACTGTATTAAGGGGTCGCAGCATGAGGAAGGTTCAGAACCACTGTTGTAAACAGTTATTTCTGAGAGAGATGTTTTCTGATAACTCTTAGAGACGAGGTACCCTTTGAGGTCTCTTTCTTTCTTCCTTTTTTATTGTTTGTAGTTTTATCACATTTCTTTCTTTCTTTAGTGTGTGGAGGTTCGTGAGACGACAACGTGTGTGAGTCAGTTCTGTCCTCGCATGCTGCCGGTCCCAGAGGTCAAACTCAGGTCACTGGCCTTGCAGCAAGCACCTTTACCTGGCACCATCTCTGTGGCCCTATTTTATGTATTTTTCTGTGTCAAGGTCTCATGTAGCCCAGGTTGGCCTCCAACTCACAAGGTAGCCAAGGATGACCTTGAACTCCTGATCTCTTGCTTCACCTCCCAAGTGTTGGACTGACAGGAGTGTGTTACCACACTTGGCTTGAAAATGCTGGTTCTTTAGCTCCCTTTGCTTGTCTATGAAGGACCTATGACCGTAGTCACTCCACTCCAGTTAACTGTGGAGTGAGGAGAGTGCTTAGGCTTCTGAGTCCACTGAGAGAACCTTAAGAGATGGCTGCTAGAGAGACATCTCCTTTGTGGAAAGCCCCTGCTCTGAGCGAGCCAGAGCTGCCGACACAGCCAGTTCCCCGCTGTCCTTACGGTTCCCTGCAGCCCATGATTCTCCTTTAACCGGAAGCCCAGTCTTGTCTGTCTAGCAGAGCTTAAAGGAAGTCAGTGCCCATGCTCCCCGTATCTCTGCCCCCAGCTGTCATCCTCCATTTACAAAAGGTCAGAGGGAGAGAGTCATGTTATCCTGTAGCAGTGGCCCTGGGCTCTGTGCCGGCTGGTGGCCATTGCCAGTGGCCTGACCTTCCTACCCATCCTCCTGCTGCCTCACACTAAGGGTTCCTGTAGCTCGCGGCTGTGCTTTTCTTCCAACTTTAGCCCTCCCTCGTGTCCACACGCGTCAACTAATGGAAATAATTAGCTTGCCCTCCTCGCAACCACCGCCTTTCTCAGCAGCAGAAGGAGGCTTCCCCAGGCAGAGCCTGTCAAGGAGGGGCTGTGATGTTTGTCCCACTGAACACGCTCGGGGCGCAGAGCCTAATAATAAAACTGTCTGATGTTATGAGGCCGCACGGTGGACTGTGCATCTCTCTATTTTTTGGGATTACTGTCCTTAAAGGATTCTTGGTGACAGTGATATTGGATTGGAGTAGGGAAGAGGGCATCTGTGATGTTGACAGCTTAAGTCCAAGGAAACCCGAAAAAAATGAGGGCACACCACCCCAGGCCTTAAATATCAAAGTGTGTGGAAATTAAAGACCCGTACCAAGATGCAGTTGCCTGCAAATGTTTCTAAGCAAGGCTCTAGCTTGCAGATCGCTGTTTGCAAGCGAGAACCCTCCAGGGCACAGGCTCTGTGTCGGATCCAACACACAAGGCATGGGAGCAAATGGGAAATAAATCACCTTGGTGGCTCACACCTTAAGAAGTAGTTAGGATGCTCGCTCAGTGATAAAATATTTATAATAATAGGCAGTATGTTTCTCCGAGAGGCGCTCAGGGTTATGTCCTTTAAAAAAAAAAAGTGCTCCTGTTTATTTCTGGATAAAAACTCATCCGTTCTGGCTGAGCCTGTCTCCAGGGTAACAGAGCCTCCCAGAAAGGAGGAAGGAGGATGCGCTGTGGAGTCCTCCCTCATCTTGACCTTCTCAGACATCCAGTGTGCATCACCAGGACACCTAGAGCCCAGGCCAGAGTGGACCTCCCTGCCTTTTCTATTCTCAAGTGAATCCTACAGTTCCCTGATTGAGTGGCTGAGGAGACTGTGTGACTGGGGCAGGCTTTGTGTCCTGAATAAGGGCCTCAGCCTGTGTCCCTGAGTCATGTTCCCCCATGCTAATTTCATAGCTTTTCCTTGGAAGGAGGGTTGGGCAGTGAAGGGCTCCACCGAGCCATCCCTTTCCAAGGGTGGTTTTGCAGTTTCTTCCAGAAAGCTGCAAAGCAGCATCTACTTGGGGCCTGGGGGATGGGTCAGTGGGTAAGAGGGCTGGCTCTGCAAGTGTGAGTGCCTCAGTGTGAGTCCTTAGCACCCACATAAAAGGCTGGGCATACTGGCACATGTCAGTTAGCCAGGGCTGAGGCTGGGGGTGGGGGCAAGACAGGGGGGTCTCGGAGGTGCATTTATCAGCCAGCCTAGCCAAATGGATGAGCTCCAGGTTCAGTGGGAGAGCTCTATGAAAGAGAGAGGAAGGCTAATAGTGACCTCACATACATTTGCACACACGTGTGCATGCATGCACATGCACATGTGCATACACACACTTATAAACACACATAGACCGTGTACACACAAATAACAACAATAATTAAACATTTCCTTGCCCTTATCTTAAAGGGGGGGTGGTATTTAGACAGACTCATACAGGGAAATGATGGTGGGTAATTCCAAGGTATGGGGGAAGCTAGGTGTCCTTACAAAGGAGATGCAGATCCACGGGGCTCTCGAGGTTACATATCTCATAGGATGCATTACAGTGAGGGTTAGAGATTTCAGGATTAAGCAAAGCCTCAGTTTCAAGGGAAGCGTTTCCTGTAGTCACTGCCATCCTTGGCAGATTGCTCGGCTTACTGTTCAGGTTAAAGGAGAGGGGGAGTGCCGGCTCAGTAACTGTAAGCGTTTTGACCCCATGTAAGAACGGTTGTTTGTTGTTGTTTCCTGCTTTGATTGGTTGGTTGGTTTTGAGGCAGAAGCTCATGTAGCCAAGGCTAGCCTCAAACTTGTTATGTAGCCAAGGAGGACCTTGATCTTCTGCTTTTCCTGCTGCCACCTCCCAAGTGCTAGGTCCCAAACAGGCCCCACCATATGCAGTTTACCCGGTGCTGGGGCTGAACCAGGGCCTACTGCTTTCAAGCAGGTCTTCTGTCAGCTGAGCCACACCCTCAGCTTATTGCTTTGAAGGCCTTGTCTGAGGCTGTATCTCTAGGCACTTAGGGCTTTATCTGCTGGTTGTTCTAGACTCTTGTCAGTAGGAAACACAAACTAGATCCAGGGTGAGGAACGTCTGTCTTTGCCCCTCATGTCCCCTTTGTGTCCCCTGTGTTTCTAGCCTGCCGCTGAGGGCTTTACTTTGGCTGATGGTCTCCAAGGGCTCCTTCCATTGTCACTTGGCTCTGTTACTTCTGGGCTTGTGGTGGGGCGAAGAGTGGAAAGGCCTGAGGGAGGGAAATGCTGATCTATGGAGGCCATGAAGCAGAAAGACTATGGAAGGAGCCAGGCATGAAGTATACACTTCAAAGGTTCAGCCATAGTGACCCACCTTCTCCAACAGTCCCGCCCTGTTCCCGTCAGCTCCCGAGTCAGCTATGAATCTACTGATTAGTCAGAGGAAACCCCTCCCATTCCAACCCACCAGGTGGGGATGGAGATTTAAACACAAGACTGTGTCCACCTTAAAACACAGCTCCACCTCGAACCCGTAAGAGAGCTTATTCTGAAACCAACTATAAGTGACCATGGCCCAGGAACACAGATTCGGGTCACTTCAGATTCTGCATTCCAACATGGTGACAGTTCCTTCAAGTTTTATAGGCAAAGAACAAAGAAAGTCATAAATCAAGGCACTGTCGCCCTCAGATGCTAGCCAACAGCACTCTCAGCCTTTTGGTTGGTGGAAGCTAGTGGCCTGTGATGTTGATTCATTTCAGGTTTCGCCTCTTAATCACAAGGACGTTAATTCAGACATAGAGGTAGGCAAGGAATGACTATCAAGGGGCTGAAGGCAGCCCAAGAGTAGTTTTAATTAGACTTTGGACCTGCAACACGCCAACCTCCCCCCACACTGAAGTTATAATCCTTCATCTATCCTCGCAGGGCTCAACAGAAAGTGCAGGTCTTTCCTGGAGCATTCATTCACAATTGTTTGGGAGGACACTTCCAACCAAGACCTAGCCCAGAGGAAGGCTAGCTTTGACCTTCCTGCTTTTAATGCCCTCTGCCCTTCATCATTTCTGCTTCCTACCAAGCACAAATGGTCCCTAAGACAGAAAGAATGTCCTCAGAAAGTCCTGGATTGTGAGAAGAAGCTTCTATGCCCTCTCTCCACCTCCTTATTTGCATATCTCTTAGGGAAGTCATAGTATACAGAGACACCTGCATTTCAGGGTCTTGGGTTTTTTCCCAGCCATGGTGACCTTGCTGGTCTGGGAGTTCCTGTCCTGGGTGTGTCCCTTCCCTCTGCTCTGTCAGATAGGGCAGCATCTGGGAAGAGCCTGGTGACTGCAGCCTACTGTAAGAAGTTAGCGGATTTACAGCTGCCTCTCTGTTTGCCAATCATTTTCCCTCTCTGGGTCTCACACAAAGCCGCATTCACAGAGGCGAGAGCAACTTCTGGGCTATAAACTGGATGCTTTGAGAAGCCGCAGGATGACTGTATGTGTCTCTCATTTTCCCCAGGGGAACTGATCCAGAAAAGCTGTGTGAATTAACTGAGCTACTTCAGTACATTAACTTCTATAAACGGAATCATGGAAAAACATTTGCTAATCAAAATAATGCAGGAGAAGGCCTTCCACAGTACAAAAGCCGTTCACTAATTTATGCTTTTTTCCCCCCTCAGAGCTGGTTTGTGTGAGCCATCTTGTTAATAAGAACAACTTTAAATTCCTGCTTCAGGGCACTGAAGGACATGTTACCCAAGAACTCACAAAGGTCCCCCGCAAAAGCAATTGGTTGTACTTAGCCATGAGCTAGCCCTTTGGAAGTTTTAACATGTTTTCAAAGCTACTTAGTGTATAGGTCTGGGATATCTCTGGACCAATCTAGATTATTCTGAAATGGAAACAGAGGCCAGGAACACACAGTCCACTGATTTCCTGTTTTCTTCCCACAATGCAGCCTCAAAAGGCAACCTTTCTCTCCACCCCTGATGGCAATCGGGTTTGAAATCTTGACTCCTAGTCACTGTACACACTCAGCAGTTTACACCTGAAATACAGAATTTTTAGAACATGATGATACACATCTGTGTAATTCAGGTGTTCAGGAAGCTGAGGCAGGAGGATCATGGGTCCAAGACAATCCTGGGCTGCATAGCAAGACACTGTCTCACAAGGAAGGAAGGAGGGAGGGAGGGAGGGGCAGAGGGAGGAAGGAAGCCATCATTTGGGTTCCCCCAGCCTCCAGTATCCCCATATCCTCCTTCCAGCAGCTGGGGCAGTCTAAGTCTCAACTCACAGTGCAGTTTTTAAGCATGACATTGGCTGTTCTCTCTTGTTTGGGTACATTTCTATTACATTTTCTCAAAAAAAAAACAAAACTGAGGCTGGATGGAGTGGTACATGCTTGCAGTCCCAGCACTTGAGAGGCTGAGGCATGAGGATTCCTGCAAGTCAGAGGCTAGCCTGGGCTACAAGGTAAGTTCTAGGACAGCTGGGCTACAGTGTTAAGGCTCTACCTCAAAGCAACAGCAACAAAAACAACAGAACCTCCCCATGACCATACAGAGTTGAAAGCCTGTTCCACTTCACCTGGAGTTTACTTACAGTCACCGTGAGATTAGAGTAGAGCATGTATGAAGTCCCTGACCAAGGCAAGCTGTGGTCAGGCCTAGCTCAAAGCCTGATTCATACTCAATTACCTCCGTTGTCCTCTCCAGGTGATCACAGTCCACCGTGGGTGGTGTCCCAGCCCTCATGCTTCCTTTCTGCCACAGGTACCGCCTGGCTGGCCTGCCCGGGGAACACCAGCAGAGGAACATCAGCAGCCCAGAGGTAAACTACTGCCTGGTCACTGACCTCATCATCTGGACCCAGTACGAGATCCAAGTGGCTGCCTACAATGGCGCAGGCCTGGGTGTCTTCAGCAGGGCGGTGACCGAGTACACCTTACAAGGAGGTGAGCTACAAGGGGGTGGGGGAACCTCTATGGGAAACTGGGAGTGGGGGTCGGCCAGCTCTGATTGGAATGTGCACCTCTCTAGGGGAGTGTTGACAAAAACACAGGTCTTACCTCAGAATGGATAAGAACTTGTTTATTTTGGACCAAATAGGAGTGACCATGGACAAAGAACACAGACTCAGGTTGTCCCCAAAGCTATGCTCCACTGTAGAAATGAGATCGTGTTAGTCACAGAACAGAGAAAGTCACAAATCAAGACACTTTTCAAATACCTTGGTGGAAAGCTCAGAGCAGAGCTGGAACGTCACTGTTATAGGCCTCAGATGCTGTCTGATGACATTCTCAGACTGAGTCGGTGGAAGCTAAGGGGCTTTTTTGTATATAACAAAAGCCGTCTTAAGGATGTTACATCACCCATGGAGCTGGGCCAGAATGCTGATTTTGAGGGCTAAAGAGAGCCCAAGATGATTTGACTTTGGACCTGTAACATTCCAACTCTCCAAAACCATGGACATTCTAATCAGCCATCCAGCCTTGTAGAAGGCTTAATTCAACATGTGTATTATTTCTCTGGAAGCTTCAGTCTCCAAGAGCCTTATAGGAAAGTCTAACCCATAAGTAAGTCAATGGGATTTCCTCTCCTTGCCTACTCCTAAACCACAGCATCACTGCTAAGGAGAAGCATACTGTCCCAGCAGCTTTTGTTCCTCTGGAAGCTAGGGACAGAAGATCTGTATACATCATATATGGAGTCTTGGGAGGGCCTGTGTTAATCCTGAAATTTGCCAGAAAAACAAGTTCTACCATTTTGGCTAAATTTAAGCAAGCTTTTTATTAAAAATATTAAATAGTGACCAAGATGGAACTTTGGTCAGGACCATCACCTGGAAATCTTCCAGGTAAGTGGCACAAGACACGTGTTGGCCGGGCTCATATGGGCAAAACCCATAGGCTTCTCCATGAGGCTTTGTTGTTAGTTTCCAAGACCTCAACTCCCAGAATCCAAGGAAGTTACCTGGTCCTGGGGCAGATGGGGCTTATAGGTTAACTTTGGGTCTAACGTCTGATCATATATGGAGTCTCGGGAAGGTCTGTGAATTCATACCTTCCTCAGTGGATCACAATTGTGTTTTTGGTCAATGGGTTGGTACAGTTCGCTGTGTTAGTATGGTTGCCTTGTGAAGCAAGCAACCATTCACAATACTGCTTTAGTTTATGCAATATGGTTATTAGGAACGGAATTCATGGGTTTGTGCTTTTCTTTTTCTTATTATACAAGCCAACATTGTAAGATCAATCAAAGCTCCTCCACCCCTTAAAGAAATAATCAGGCAGAACGTCAGAAGGAAAGCCAGTAGGTCCTCAACATACATGCTAAGACTCAACCCCAGGGTTTAGAGTTAAGCCTTTCTAGGGAAAGTAATCCTCCTCTGCTTTCTGGAAGATTCTAGTTGCAGCCCAGGCAGCTGGGTGACATTCGCCAAGTGCACATGTCATTGTTGTCCTAAACAGTAATAAATAGACTCTTTCTTAATGGCCACATTGGTCCTACAGCAAGCCATATCCTGGCCGGGGGACACAATTTCCCTCCTGGAGTCTCCAAGCCTTTCTTTCCCCTGCAGCAATTTACGAGGTTCTCAGTTCACAGGTGTGGTTTTATTTGCTTAGGCATTTTTATTGCTACCAGGGCCAGTGACCTTTTTTCAAATGATAAGGTTTCTAACTGCCCACTTCTCTCCCCAAATCCTGCCTCAGACCTAATGTTCCTTGATATTACACGCTGTTATTATCAGCCCTTATTGATTGGCTGTCGGTTGTCATCCAAGAGTCCATAAATCCTCCTTTATAAATTAAAAACAGTCAGCGCTGCTTGCCCAGCAAGTAGCAGAAATATTAAAATGCTGGACAGCAAGGCAGGGCTTGTCCATCTGCAAGAGATTCCTGACCACCCATTTGAAGAGGCAAACAGCGGACAGCCTGGACAATAAATGCTTACTTTAATCACTCTGTTTAATAAATCAACAGTAAACTTGGAAACACTCAAAATGGCTGACATGGCGGCTAGAGAGATGGCTCAGTGGTTAGGAGTGCTTACAGCACCCATGTTGGGCAACTTAAAACTGCCTGTAACTCCAGCTCCAGGGATCTGGCACCTTCTTCTGGCCTCAGTAGGCACTTCACTCACATGCAAATGCACATACATGTACACACATGCACATAATTAAAAATAAAGCAAATCTTTATAAAATTGTGAACATGGCTGTGAGTTATACCCTATTACTATTAACTGGCTACCTCACTCTATTGCCAGAGCACTTGAGTTCTGTGTATAGCCAAAGAAATCAAGGCCTAATTAAAAAAGGGTGCTGAGGCTGGAGACTTACCTGGTATATACTTGGCACTTGAGAGCCATGATAGGTTTAAGAGGGAGTGACAAGTTGGAAATGCTGAGTTGGAAGGCGTCTTAGTTAGGGTCTCTACTGTTGTGATTAAAGTCACCACGACCAAAAGCAATTTAGGGAGGAAAGGGTTGATTTCTGCTTACAACTCTCAGGTCCTACTCTGTCACTGAAGGAAGTCAGGTTTTATTAAATTCAGGGCAGGAACCTGGAGGCAGGAGCTGGTGCAGAGGCCATGGAGGAGTACTGCTTACTGACTTGCTCCTCATGGTTTGCTTAGCATTCTTTCTTATAGCATCTGGGACCCAGCAGCCCAGACATGGCACCACCCACATAAATCACTAATTAAGAAAATGCACCACAGGCAACTCTTACGGAGGTATGCCCTCAGTTGAGAGTCCCTCTTCCCAAATGATCTAGCGTGTGCGTGTCAAGTAGGCATAAAAAGAGCCAGCACCGAGGAGACATCCTTCAGTGGAGTACAGGCGAGAAGAGAGGGACCTAAAGAAGCAGCTACATGGAAAGTCCAAAGAACAATAATCTGCCTGGAAAGTGACAGATTCTCCCTGCCCTGAGGTGGGCAGTGAGAAGGGACTCGGGTGTGCGTTTAGGAGGTACATTGTTCTTTCAAATCAGATCACATGTGGGCCGGGGAGGCGGTTCAATTGATAAAGAGATAAACTAGATTTCCAGAACTTATGTAAAAAAAAAAAAAAAGCCAGCTGTGCTGGCATGTGATTGTAATCCCAGCCCCAGAGAGGCAGAGATGGAAGGTGAGAACAGGTGCCTAGGGTTGGCCTCTGACCTCCACGTGCAAGCCGGCATGCTCATGCAAACCCGCATGTCCACTGCCACACATATCACACACACATACATCTCTCACACACACACACATGCACAAAGACTATAAAAAAGAAAACTCCTTTGTCATTCCAACTCCTGTTTGGAGCTGGGAGCCATCCCTGTGCAGGTACAGCTGGAAGCATGGTCTTTCCACTGGTGCAGGCGTGCAGTTCTATAACTTACAGAGGCAGGGGGGTGGCTGTTAGAGGGGCCACTAGCAGCTTCTGCTCCCTTTCCAAGGTGACTTCTAGTGATGGGTCACCCCTGTGGGCTACACGGTTTCTAGATATGAGCCTGCAGAGAAGACTAAGGCTTGGTATGGTAGGGGGCGGGGGCATGGGTTGGGGGACTGGAGGGAGTTGCATTGCTTCCTAGTCACCTGTGTTGGAATAAGCAGGGACTTAAGTGCACAGCCCCTCTTGGTCATGACTTCCACTTAGCCTGCCCTGCAGACCCTGGAGCTTAATCCTAGACATAGGAGGGTTATGTGGGCAATAGCTGAGGCATGTTTCCTTTGCAGCTAGGAGGTCACTTAGTGTCCCTGGAGTGTCCTACAGCTGTTGGTGGTGTGTGCTGAAAAGGCTTGGAGTAGGTCCTCCAGGCAGAAATTGGGGGAAATTAAAATGCTTGCATATTAAAAGAGAAAAGAATAACTCATAAAATTAATTGTCAGCTTCATTTGGGAAATCATGGGCGTGTATGGAAACATAATTTGGCAGTCAATCTGGAGACACTGAAGGAGGCCAGGGATGCTTAGCTGGGGAGGGTGGAATTTCAGCCAATCAGGGCCTGGCTCCCTCTCCCTTCAAAAAGGCTCAGGAAAGCATCCTGCACTCTACAGGGGTCACTGGGGAAAGTACATGTAGCTTATGTGGCCATTTGCTGGATGTGGGGACTCTGGTATGATCTCAAGGAGAAAAAGGGGGCAGGATGCTCACAAGCTGCCTGCTGGCACCAGTAGCCAAGTATAACAACAACACACTGTTTCCCCCCAGCTCCTTCTTAGGCCTGCATTATTATTATTATTTTATCTCAAACATGTGTTTCCTTCCATGAAGCCCCTTAGGGAAGGTAAGCAAGTTATTCCCACCCCAGGTGGAACCCAGTATGGTGCTGAGCCCTGAAGTAATTGAATCCACCACTCACCTGCCACATACCCCAGGCTCTTCTGTTGCTGAATTATGTCGGGTTGCATGGTACACAGTGTGCTGTGCCCATCTGGCTCAATGTGGGTTTTTTCCCCTTTGCATATCTATGTGTGTGTGGTGTGCATGCGTGTGTGCATGCATATTCAAATGTGTGTGAGTCCAGGATGGGGGGTTCGCTTGTATTTGTGTTTGGACTTTGACTTTCGATGTCTTCCCTATTGCTCTCCACCTTATTTACTGAGCAGGATCTCTGGCTGAACCTGGAGCTCACTAAGTCCACCTAGTCCAGCTAGCCAGCTTGTCCTAGGGACCACCTGTCTTGGCCTCCCGAGTGCTGGGTTTGCAGGAGGTCACCACACGTGCCTGGATTTTTTTATGTGGGTCTTGGGGAGACAAATTCTGATCCTCACACTCACAGGAGAAACTTTATTCACTGAGCCATCTCTACGGCTCCTTCTTAGCAGGTTCAAGACCCGGAATGGTGCCCTAAGCACACAGGGTTGCCAGAGAAGAACTTTCTAACTTCCGTAACGCCCCCTGTCCGGCTTCCATCCACCACCCCTGATACCTTCTCCATCAATCTCATCTAATAGATTTCATGGCTGTG